CCCACTGCACCTCCACTGCACCTCCACTGCACCTCCACTGCATCCCACTGCACCTCCACTGCACCCCCACTGCACCCCCACTGCACCCCCACTGCACCTCCACTGCACCTCCACTGCACCTCCGCTGCACCTCCACTGCACCTCCACTGCACCCCACTGCACCTCCACTGCATCCAACTGCACCTCCACTGCACCCCACTGCACCTCCACTGCATCCCACTGCACCTCCACTGCACCTCCACTGCACCTCCACTGCATCCCACTGCACCCCAACTGCACCCCAACTGCACCCCCACTGCACCTCCACTGCATCCCACTGCATCCCACTGCATCCCACTGCACCCCCACTGCACCCCCACTGCACCCCCACTGCACCCCCACTGCACCTCCACTGCACCTCCACTGCACCTCCGCTGCATCCCACTGCACCTCCACTGCACCTCCACTGCACCTCCACTGCATCCCACTGCATCCCACTGCACCTCCACTGCACCTCCACTGCATCCCACTGCACTCCACTGTACCTCTAGTGTACCCCATTGTGTCTCCACCGCACTCTGCTGTACCCCCACTGCACTCCACTGTACCCCACTATTCCCCATCCCATCTGCCTCTGTTGTCCTGCTCTTCTTGCTCTGTCCTGGGGTACACCGCGTGCTGGAAACACTGCGGGCTGAGAGTGCACACTGGTCGCAGCACTGCGGCCCACAAGCTCTTTCTGAACATGACTGAGACTCGAGCGCACAGTCGGGCCACACAGCCTGGCCTGAAGACCACAGAGCTGTGAAACTGCAGCACCCCATGGCCAGGCCTGTACTGTACTGTGGGTGCTCCTGCTCTCCTCAGTGTGAGGCTGGCGGGGGGGCGGCCCTGTGACCCTCTCCCTCTGTCTCCAGGTCCCTCAGTGGTGTGCGGAGTACGCCCTCTCCCTGCAGTTCTCTGGAGGAGTGGTGGCCGTGACGCAGCCACACAGCCTGGCCGCCATGAGCCTGGCGCTGAGAGTGGCCGATGAGATGGACCTGAATCTGGGGCTGGAGGTGGGATACAGGGTGCCGTATGAGGAATGCTGCACGCCGGACAGCATGCTCAGGTACAGAGTCGGTGAGGCTGCGCTGTGCCGGGGTACAGAGTCGGTGAGGCTGCGCTGTGCCGGGGTACAGAGTCGGTGAGGCTGCGCTGTGCCGGGGTACAGAGCCGGTGAGGCTGCGCTGTGCCGGGGTACAG